TTAAGCTGTATACCCTATATTTAACTTGTGAAGAAAAAATAATTTATATTCCTGCCTACCCATGTTTTTGCAGGAAAAAAATAAAAAAAATAAAAAAATGTTATGCCTACCTACCGACCCTAATTTTCACAATCCAGGTGACCCGAACCAAAGGTAATTTTTAGGTCGGCCTTAATAAAGCATATGCGGCGGGAGTGGGCGGGGTCTATTTTTATCCTCCAATCACAGGTCGGAGCAATTCCTCTGTCAGTACTGTCTAGACAACAAGGCCCAATCCTAGTTGTCACACCTAGGTTTAAAAACCACTTTCCTCTGCTAGATGATCGGCAGCTCGGATATCGCGCGAAGCGCAAAAAACCCTGTGTAGCGTCACACTAACACAACGACGCTGCACTCATTGAATAGCAATTTCAACGGGTCCACTATAGAGGGAATTCTAGGGCAATCGCTGAATTGAGCAGTTCTGGCGATTGCACGACGGGTTTGACTACCCACGTAACTAGAGATTTCCTAGAAATGGTCGTAATTCTTGGTTCGCTACTCGGCGCGCTTGGTTTGCTGTAAAAAACGGAGTTGAACTTTTTTGTGGCAGCGACTAGTTCAGGCCCCCATATCACTGTAGTACATATGGTGTGCGATAGATAGCGCAACAAGGCTATATACATAGCATTTCGCTAGCACTTTGTCCTGCAGACGGCTTGGCCGGCTATAACCTAGACTGCTCCCCGGTCGACAGTTCCACACGCTACACTAACTAACTTCAGTGTAGCGAAGGATACTTGCCCCCCCCCCCATCTGTATGACCCCCCATCTAAGTCGCGAGTTCCTCCCACGTCCCAAATCTCTGCCCCCTGTGTCCCCCGCTAAAATTCCGGACTGTTTGCTGGCAGCTATGGATCTGTGCGCCGACCTATGCATTCGGCGCACGGATCCATAGCTGCCAGCGCTGCATACTGTCGTAGGACGTTTCCGCGGTTGCGTGCGCCTTGCCGCGGAACTGCGCGCAAGATCCGCGCTCAGCGGTTAGGATCAACACCTTCATTCGGCAACCCTTCTCTGGTATCCCGTCTCATCTGGATGGTGCCACTACGCTATATGTGTTACTCCGCGACTGTGTATATTATCAGGAGTTAATAAAGACAAAGGAGTTTGACACGTATTTGGTACTGATTTCACTGCATTTTTGTCGTACGAGTTCGATGTGAATAAAAATCCAAATGTATACAAACATGAGCTTCTTTTGTTCACTGGTCCTTATTCTATAGTATTACAAACCGCGTAGCTTCCTTCGTTTTTACATAAATCGTACTTTTGCACAACATGGTTTTCACGTTATTTACTGTCGTGTGGCGAGGCCAAGCGGTAAATTCGCATACACAGCAACTGGAAGGAGGCGCGGCAGGGCTTTAAGGCCGTAGTCTAGCCGAGTGCAGAAAATGCGCTTAGAAATTAAGTTACGTTGCACCCATGCTGGGTTTAAAAATTAAAACTATTTTACATTGAAACTATAGTTAGAATGCCTTGTTTTTATGGTTGAATCCCGCAGTTTTTTTAAACAAAACGCTGCGCAGGTAAAATATCTGAACTACTTCACCCGCGGAGGAATGATGTGTATGAATCTAGAGCGAGTAAATTGACGCTCCAGCTGATTGTAGCCTTTCGCACGTGTTTTGCATAGCAACCGTTACTATGCAATTGCAGGCAAATGCATGTGTTTACACCTACCTTACTTATCATGACCATCTGTATGTGATAAAGGCGACAGTTAACGTCGTCATCACTCGGCTTTGTTAGCTGAACAAAAACTTATTCGGGAGATAACGTACGGGAGACGCGATCCCTGTCGCGCCTCCTTCCAGTTGCTGTGTATGCAATTTACCGCTTGGCCTCGCAACACGACGGTAAATAACGTGAAAACCATGTCGTGCAAAAGTACGATTTATGTCAAAACGAAGGAAGCTACGCGGTTTGTAATACTATAGAATAAGGACCAGTGAACAAAAGAAGCTCATGTTTGTATACATTTGTATTTTTATTCACATCGAAGTGACACAATGTAGTGAAATCAGTACCAAATTCGTGTCAAACTCTTTTGTCTTTATTAACTCCTGATATTATCAAGAGCTAATAATACCTAGAGTGTACAACGGAAAAACGGGAAAATAGTGCTATTTCACGACAACATTATTCTACTTTGCCTGCGAGTTTATAATAATTTCATG